TGTGCATAAATGTCATAAAATTCAATTTTGATCAAACATATTTTGATTACATATGTTTTGATCAACTTTGCATAAAAATATTAGAATTAATGCAAATGTTATTTATTTCAATTTATTTGAAGTGTAAAATTGATTTTTATTATTTGTGTAAATTATACAGCATGCAATAAATCAAATATTTTTTTAGGTTTATATGAATTTGTCGGACATAACAAACGAAAAATATATTCAATAATAAAATGTAAAAATAGATGTAAGTGTAGAAATAAAATAATAAATAATATTGTTACAAATAAAATAATAAAATTTTTTACTATTATATCATTTAAAAAAAACAGAGGATATGGTAAGTGTAAATATTACATTTAGTTAAACTTAAATCTATAAAATATGTATTAATGAATTTATGTTATAAAATTAATAAAAACATGTAGAGATTTTAACTATGGCATATAGTTTTAATAGAAACATTTTCATTGGTTAATTAAAATGATATGTTCCTTAAAAATCTTATTGAATAACACATTTTTTCACTAAATTCTACTCAATTAATATATAGAGGATTAGTGACATTTTTGATAAAATTTAAGAATGATTGAATTATTTGAAAAGTGACATTTCTCAAAATAATAGAAAAATATACACTATTTTTCGTGTAAGAAAAAAAATCATGATTTTTCGTTTTTGAATATTCTAATCCCGCATTTGACACAAGTCAAAAAATCTAATATTAGTAAAAAGAAAATAAGATATTCTCACATATACTCTATGTTTTTAAATAAAATCTTTCATATTAACTACCATCTACTCGTTGTTTCCATATTCGTTTGATGATTATATATTGTATATATGATATAAATTTGGTGAGTAATTGGGTTAAAATATAGTTACTTAAAAAGACCTCATTGAATAACACATTTTTCACTAAATTTCTATTCAATATATATATAGAAGATTAGTGTCACTTTTGAAAAAAAAATCAAAATGATGACATTTTTGAAAAATAGCATCTCAAAAGTAACATTTTTCAAAAAATTATAAATTTAATCTAAATTTCATGCAAATAAGTTTTTCAAGATAAAATATGAGAGATATATACCATTTGATCTTTGTTATTTTTATTTTTTCTTGTGTATTTTTTTATTTTCGTGTAGTGTTGGAGGATATGGTTGCCGACAATACGATCCACTCGTTTGGTAGACTGATTTATTTTCTATTTCTTTTGTAAACTAGTGCTAGAGCTCTACATGTGTTCGTGGTCACGTTCGACCTTTACTCTCCGCATGTGATCCACTTGCCAGAAATATAATGAAGAGTATTACTTTGTGGATAAATAAATCAAATAAAAAGGACAGGAGTATTTTGTATAATTTTAAATAATTTTTAAAAATATATATAAATTAAAATTTTTTTAATTCTTTTAATTTTTCTAAATTAAAACATCATTTATCATTC